GCAGTACCATGTCATCTGTGTGCTCGAAATCAGTCAGTTTGCTACCCGAGAACATCGACACCGCAATCCTCATGGACCGGACGAGGCTATTTATAATACCATATGTTACGCGGTTGAAGAGCAAATGTGGGAAATGGAAGCGATTAACACTGCTTCCCCGGGGAAACTCTGAGAAAAGAGCATTGGTCATTCATACAGAGGAGGCATAATAGTGGATGTATCCGGCATATCTCCAAGGACGGGCAGCACTAGAGGATAGTGCAATCGATTGAGTTAAATACCGNCGCTTTCAGATCGAGGAGGACAGAAGTGATGGGTTTGAGAGAAATGTTTGTTCCCGAATTGAGCGAAGGGTGATAATACAGTCGATGCATCATATGACATTCATAATTACCCATAACTCTAAAATGTTGATTGCAATTGAACCAGTGTCAAACACTTACCTGGCGGCGGTGGGGCTGGTAATCCCTGTGGTTCACCCCAGGCTGCCATCGGGTCAATCAAATCGGCAGTAGCAACCGGTTCTGACGGGGAATGAGTCATTTCGAAAGGATTTCGGGCAGGTGACAATGGTTCTGCATTCATGTTTAATTGCATCATATCCTCGGAGAGCGGACTCGTAGCAGATAATGGAGTCTTGGCAACTGGGTGATTTGGAGAAATCAGCAGGCCACCATGACCGTCGTCAGCGTCATATTCACCGGGAAGCGCACCGGCACCATTTTGTTCCGAATGATAACCGTTTACGTTGTTATTCACAAGTTCGTTGTTAGGTGAAGTTGGCAAGCTTGGATTTGGCTCTGGTGCATCACCCAACAGATTAGATGTGTGATCTAGACACCGAAATAGGAGTGAACAATGATAGTTATCACGAATTAGTGATTCATCACCCAATATAGAATACCAACGCTATCAATGTAAAAAGAAATAAGGCGAAGTGCAAACCACAATGAATACAAAGTGAATGTAAGTAGATATGGAGTGAGGGAAATCTGTATAGATCATTGTGGTCAAACTAAACAGCCACCTACTCAAACGGTCAGGTACACTTTGAACTAACTATATGAACATAAAATGAGTGGATACCGCAAGCCACATCAGTCCTAGGACATGACCTCGTTGAGATAGTGCAATCCCGCAGTCCAGTGATTACATACAAACACATCAGCAGTCGAGTGAGTGATTTTGTACAATTTCTCTCGCGAATAAATCAAACAGAAACGGGAAAACAAGATACCAATGTGCAATCAGTATACGTTTGCTGGACCAGGTGGAATTCGCCGTATACCGTGTGAGTACGAGGAGACAGCTGGGTTAGCGTACCTTAGCTCACACTTAAAAGGGTGAACAACTAGTAGCCAAGTTGATAGGCCACGGGAAGTAAGCTCACAACTAGATGAACTAAAAAAAACTGAATTCAAAGCTGACAAGAAGTGGCTCCAGGACCACCTGGTCACCGATTCCATTTGGCGATAGGGTGATGTGAAAACGCATCTGAAAAGGTTTTGGCTGACCTGAGAGGAGGCTTTGATTTGGGGAGTTGACCTAACCTGACACAAGAGGGGTTAATATCAAAACAAAAGATTGGACGAGCCGAGGTGTAGTAATTACCTTTGTTACAAGGATAAGAACAAGGACGAGTGTTAATTCCCTTCACATACCTTTTGAGTGAGTTGCTACGGTAAGGTGAAATCGGAGATGAGCTGTGTATTCTTAAATAGCAGAGCTCGAGTGCACGAAAAATCACTAGATACCATGTTGAACGATTGTAGCTAATGATACGGATACTGTTGTTGGAGGGTTCTCTAAGTTGGAAATCACACTGATGACGCTATCTAGCTTGAGTACGAAACACTTCCAGCTAGCAAAATCCTCCAACACCAACAAGCCATTAAATGCTAGACGTTTGACCGCTTTACACAAAATGACGGTGAAAAAGAAAGTTCAGAAAACAAATCCGACTAACCATGATCGTTCTCTGCGGCAATAGCTGCAGCCGTCTCGGCAGCAAGGCTTAGAGCGGCAGGCACGGGTTGAGTTGTTGCGGGTGGTTTACTCTGCGCTTTTTTTGTAGCGGCCCCAGGGATCGCAGATGGTTTGCTCGCATTGCTTTCCTTCTTTGCATTAGCTGGTGTAGGTTTACTTGTTGGGCGTGGTTGCGTTGCAACAGGTCGAGTTGACATGGGCTTCTTATCCGCCAGCGATGACGGTCGACCAGGGGCGGATTTTGCCGGCGCACCACCAGCACTACTCACAGAGGACTGTTTTGCAGGAGCGCCAACGGTCCCCGGCATCACTGATCGTCGGGCCGCTGGTATGAAATAGAAACACGTGGAGAACCCGAGTCAGTTGATGGAACTGACAGAATTAGAGCACATAATGACAAAAAACATCGGGAGAAAACAAGCTATCAATCGTTGCCGTTCGAGTAGTGAAATAAATCGATATGATCAACAAAATTCCACATAATCCGAGGTACAAACTCCATTGTACAGGAATCGAAAGGCTAAACTTGCGTGGGAAAGTGAACGCGCATAGATAATTGGATGGAATGGATACAACACAGAATAATCTTAATAGAAAACAATGAAAAGATATATTTAAAAATGAGTAGGATCGACTGTTCTCGGCAATTTATTGGAGTTTCATAGGTTACATTATTGTCCTTGGCCAGGGTTAGTTCACCTGCACACGTCCCATGGTCTGTCACAACAGACCCACCTGAGGCAGAAATCCGTAAGGAGATCCAAGCCTTAGGACGTCACAAAGCGCCGGGCTACAATGGCATTTCCCCTGCTCTATTTGGAGATAGTGCAATATGGCTTGTTAGAGAACTACAAGTTCTGTTCTTCAAAGTGTGGAACACTGAGTAAGTCCTCTCCTCGTGGGGGGAATCGATTGTTGTCTCCATCTTCAAAAAGGGCCCGCGCAATGACTGCGTCAATCACAGGGGTATAAGCCTAAGATAGCGTCGAAGCTGTTGGCGTCCGTCATTCTCCGCCGATTGTACACTACGCGTGAGGAGCAGGCTGGGTTTCGCGCCGGTCGTGGATGTATCGATTAAATCTTCACCCTCCGATGGCTACTAGAGCACCGTCATGCCTACCAAAGACCAACGGTCATTGTATTCTTAGACATTCGCGCGGCCTTCGACTCTGTCGATAGGACCGCACTATGGAACTGTTTGTTGAGAAATGGAGTACCTGAGAAGTGTGTCGATCCTCAAAGAGTTGTATCATTCCTCAAGTCGGGTTAGGGCCTATGGCCCGCTTTCACCACCCTTCGCCGTCTCCAGTGGAGTTCGACAAGACTGCCCTATATCCCATTTCTTTTCAACTGTCATAGAGGATGTTCTACAGAATGCTTTATCCGGTCTAGAAAACGGTGGAGTCGAACTCCTCCAGGGGAATAGAGCTCTTGACTTAGAATATGCCGATGACATGGCTTTGCTGAATGACAATACACAGGCAGTCCAAGACGCTTTGAACCGCTTGGTGATCGTGGTATCCAGGTATGGTATGCGCTTTGCACCTTCCAAGTGCAAAGTGCTGGTTCAAGACAAGCCTGTGCTTCCACTCACCTTCTGTGGTGATCACCTAGAAGTAGTTGAGAAATTTAAGTACCTCGGGAGCTTGATCGCAGCTGCTGGTGGTCTTGGGGACCAGATCACATTACGAATAGCGAATGCTAGAGTAGCTTTCGTCAACCTAAGACACTTGTGGCACCGCCATGACATCCGACTGTCCCTTAAGGTGTACATCGCCGCGGATCGTAGTGTTCTACTTTGCAGTTGCGAGATCTGGCCTATCCGAGCGCAGGATGCTAATCGACTTTCTGTATTTGACCACCGAAGCATTGCTCGTGTCTGGTGGGAACATCGGGTGAGCAATGGCGAGGTCCGTCGTCGTGTGTTGGGTGCGGATAGTCGTTCTCTAACAGAAGTAATCGCTCCACACCACCTCCGATGGCTTGGTTACGTATTGTGTATGCCTGCTACTACCTTTCCGTGCTCTCTTCGCACGTGCCGGGTAAGGCTGGAAGAAGCGACGCGGTTGTCAGACCATGACACGGGCTAAAGGCATGAAGAAGCTGGCTTCAGCTTTGACTTCGATTGGTGCAGCCCGCCTTCCAGGTTGGGGCCCAAGGGATGAGGATTGTCGCTGGNGCTGGTTAGAGGCGCTGAGATATGGCCCGGAATAGAAGTCAGTGGCGCGAATGCTGTACGGTCTGCCTGTCGAAACCCCATACCCCGTGAAAACCACAAAAAAACAAAAAGTTCAAAAAGTGTACGGTGAAACAAAAAAATTATTATTCTACTTATACGTAATCATTTATTCTGGCAGTTGCGTCTTCTTCCCTATACTCTGTATCACAATGAATGTGAGAACAACCATGACTGCAATGATAAAGTCTGACTGTGTCGCATATATGTGATACCCGTAAGCAGAATCGACGAACAGCTTACAAATTCCATAGAGGTTCTTTTATTGTTTAACGGGGAACTGAG